TTCTTCCATTCTTCAATTCTTCAATTCTTCCATTCTTCCATTCTTCCTTTCTTCAATTCTTCCATTCTTCAATTCTTCAATTCTTCAATTCTTCAATTTTTAAATTCTTCAATGCTTCCATCTATAACTTCCTTAATTTCTCAATGATTCATTTATTAAATTGTTAAATTTTTGAATGGTTAGGTTTTTAACCCCTTGTCGTACAATTTATTTTGATTGACGCCAGATGCGTTAATCAAAACTAACTATTCATAGCTGTAATATTAAAACAAATGAAGAAAATTAAAATGTTGTGAGTATTTCATATTCATCAACCTCTGATTATTGTATATTAAAGTTGACCTTAATTTTAAAGTTGAAGAGTATTACAAATTTCAACAGGGTTTGTCACATTTGAACTGTCAGTGCATAACAAGTGAGACTCGTCAAAGTACGGCAAGGGTTTAAAATTGAATTGTTAAATTCTTCAACTAAAATTTATAAATTACTAAACTTAACACAATTGTCATAAATAGGCAATCAGCTTGAAAGCTATTAGCTGAGCTAAAAATGCTACTTTTCGTATAAGCTACATACAAAGAACCAAAACATAATTGGTCTCCCCTGAAAAAATTGAATATACTTTCCTGAAACGTTGCAACTTAAACGCGATTAAATCACAGCTCAGCAGAAAAGCATAGATAACTCGTAACCCAGTTTTCATCGCTCTCGTAACAAATAGGTATGCGGACGGTTCAAGAGCTGAACGCAGAAATTGAAGAGAGAGAAGCGTCACGCGAATGCGATTTAAAGTTCGAGAGACAGGATGGTTGAATTTTTTAAGAACTCGTTGCCTCGAAACGCTTTGCGAGCAACTGCGTCGTAATCCGCTTAATCCGTTCGCGTGGTCCACGCGAATCTGTGCCGCTTAAAAAATCTAGAAATTCGTGAAGCTGATGTTGAGACCGACCGGACTACGCTTGCAAAAATCATCACGTACCGGGTAAAAGGATAAAAGAATTTACCAGCCGCATTCAGAAATTGCGAACGACCATTTTCCTCACGGTTACAAATTTTTACGACGCTACGTTTCTGAATGCTCGGCTAATTACTTTCGTTCAACTTTTTACGCGTTTGCTATACACTGTTTGTTAGAAAAGGTAATGGAACTTTTTAAATTTAAGGAAAACTTGCGTTCTTTTTTTAAATAATGTTATCTCAAAACAGTATACTTCTCTTCTTCTCAAAACAGTATTCTTCTCAAAACATAACAAAATAATTCTTTCCTTTTTATTTAACACTAAACCTACCGGCACATGATGTGTACTTAATTTCAAATTAAAAATGAAGTTAAAAGATAAATAAGCAAACGACGAAACATAAATTAGTACACTAAACCTACCGACATATAATGCGTACTTAACTTGAAACCAAAAATGAAGTTAAAAAATAAATAAACAATCAATAGAACATAAATTAGTACACACATTTATTCTTTATCTCGATGAAAATCAATTCTAAATTCAAGAAATGTACTTAAGAGATAAATAAGCAAACGACGAAACATAAATTAGTATACTAAACTTACCGGCACATAATGTGTACTTAATTTGAAATTAAAAATGAAGTTAACACTAAAACTACCAGCACATAATGCGTACTTAACTTGAAACTAAAAATGAAGTTAAAAAATAAATAAACAAACGAT